CCCAACTAACACTCGCCCTCTCATCCCCCCCCTCTCTCTCTCTCTCTCTCTCTCTCTCTCTCTCTCTCTCTGCATCTCATTGACTAGAGGAGTTGCCTATCTGTGCCTTCCCACCCCCATGTGGCCTACCTTTTGCCAGGCATTCCCAGAAACTCGTTAATCTAAAATTGACCTGCAGTGAAATTCAAGGAGGGACATAGTCACGAGGGATAAGGCAATGGTGACATTTGGTGTTTGAAAAGTAGAATGAGATTGAATTATGGATGAATTATGGAGAATGGATGTAGTACCATTGATTGGTTAATCTGATTAACCACACACACATTTAATCAGATTCAGAGAAAGGGAATGTTTATACAAGTCGCTGAGCTGTCAGCCATGACAGAAACCAAGGAAAGAGAGTAAGAATAGTTGACATCTTTAGTGTGAACTATTTGAGGGCACACATACACAAAAAAAAAGAAAACAGAAAGAGAAGGCAGCAGCAGGAGCAGCTCAGGCCGCTCTTTCAAGACGAGAGGGGGAAGAAAGGAGGAGTGTGGGATTGGTGTCCACAGTGTCATGTCACCGAAACCTGGTCGAGCCAGCACTCTCCAGAGTGGAACGGACATTAACCCAGCTGTGTCCCCAGGATTCTTGATGGGGTACTTTGACATTAGAATAGTGCTGATAGACACTGTCAGTAGTGAATTCAAATCCTGTCTCATGTTCATGCTTTCTTATTGAATCACCTAGGCTTATTCCTGAAGGTCTTAGTTAAGGCCATAAGTCACAAATGGTAATGTGACTATTTATGAGGGGCAGTGAGTCACCCAAACTTACACTGGGGCTCTGTCAGCTTTGCCAGGAACTAGGGACTTTCATAGACAAATAGTATTTCCATTTGGTGGGAGCACGGAGTGTGTGTGTGTGTGTGTTTACTAGCAGAGATGCCTGTCATTTGCTAAAATTAGAGTGTGTGTGTGTGTGTGTGTGTGTGTGTGTGTGTGTGTGTTTACTAGCAGAGATGCCTGTCATTTGCTAAAATTCAATTCATATAATCTAATGTGTCTTTCATTCATCTGTAAAATTATACTAAAGCACTTCCTGTTGAAATGTAAAACACTTAACACTGTGGACACTCATACAGAGGAAAATTCTGTATTTGACCTATAGACACCTATGGTGGATAAAAGAATAATTTCTGTTACAAAATAGGTATTCTAAAACCCCTCTAAGTATATGAATGTTCAAAACTTGAAGGTTAGTAAATCTTCTGCCATCTAAAATCCTAACCTTCACATGGCATTAGACACATTGTTCTCATGAGTGATATTTTCTCATTTTCTAAACCACTTCTTGATCAAACTGAAGGCACACTGGCATATAATGTAGGAGCAGATAACCTATTTTGTATGTCATGACAGAGTTTACTCGCATTCTGAATGTAAAACCAACGTAAAGTCCCTTCTGAGTAGAGTGGTTCTGATCTTTGGATGTGCGTGTGGCCTTTAGACATTCACAATCTTTGGCTAGCATAAAAGTATAGATTAGGTAGATTCTTAACCTGTTCCTCAAATGACCTTCTCTAATTCATGTAAATTCGTAGCTAAAATTTGTTATGTATCTGTATTTTTTCCTATAAAAACAAAAAAATTGAGTTTTCCTTGCGTCCATTACCAAAAGGTTAAGATGTACAACTTCTTATGATTCAGTAAAATGTTAATTGCATAATACGACAGAATGCCTGCAGTATTTGAGCATGTCTTTTTAACTTTCCATTCATTAACAGAACGAATATCGTTATTGTCTAATAATGTAATGTTTTTATAATGATAATTTCTTTCTTCCTGAGCAGACTGGAATGACACTGTGACTTCTTCAGATGAGCCTTGGAACAATCACACTGTAAGCACATTCCTTCCTATTTTATTAGCCAGGTTTACTTGAATATGTTCCTGGAAGCAAATTTCATTTAAAGATTGTGTCTTTAAAATTAGCACATGGATAGATTTTTATCTCCTAAAAAAGAAAAGAAAAGAAAAAAATTAAGAAGAAAAAAAAAGCTAAAAATAGTGGCACATCTTAGGGTGCAGAAGACTGACATAAGAGATCACAAGTTTTTGGACATCCTGGACTACCAGGGCATACCTGGCTGCATAGTGAGGCACTGTTTCACAAAAAGGAATAAAGAAATTAATAGATATATAATAATGAAGAAATTAATAATCAAGGAGTTTGACTATTTTTTTGAGACAGGGTCTGCCTGTTGCCCCAGCTATCCTGGAACTCACTAGGTAGACCAAGCTGGCCTCAAACTCACAGAAATCTGTCTGCTTCTGCCTCTCAAGTGCTGGGACTAAAGGCATGTGCTACCACACCCGACGAGTTTGACTATTTAAAAAGATGTTTGAAGTTCATTTATGTGGTCCGGTTTGATTGTGGTGCCCCATAAATGATATTAGGAAACAATATGAGAGGTGGGGAGGGAGGGAGGGGGGAGGGGAAGGCTTTCCTATGGCCAAAAACTGGGGAAAAGAATGAACTAATTGAAGGAGAACAATTTCACGTACCGTACCATGGAAGACTTCATCTTTCATTAGAGGCAAGATGCTTGGAATCAATGGGATGGAGAGCAGGCTGGCCCAAAATAAAATGGACCTTAAAGAAGGCTCATGTAAGGAGGGGTCCCCTAATATTCCTTTTCCACACAGTGGATATTCTATATAGATAACTCTGATTTTTTTTGCACATATCTCTGCATAAGAAACACTTTGATTCTGCCAGAGTTTTCTATAATTTATTCTTTATGCCTCATAATATTTGTCATGAAAGTGTCTCATCCAAGAACTCTACAAAGGGTGTTGGCAGATGCAGAAACAGAGGCTCAGAGAGGCTCACTGCTTGTTCATGGTCACAGTGGCTGAGGAGAAGAGCTGGGATTGAGACTCCAGAGATGAAGTTCACACACGGGAAAAGAGGAGATCTCTGATCCTCCCCTTCCTAGCAGTTAAACACCGTCTTATGGATCTCTTTAGGGTTAGCAGACTAGCTCTAAGCTGTGAAAAGGACCTAACATGATGTCCAGCCTGCTCCATGCTTATTCCAATAGATGGTGATCCCTGATCATCTGTACCAGGGCGTTTGGGTAGATCCTGCATTTCTGTCTGAGCACAGCGTTAGCAGGCCGTGCCCATGAGCAGCGTCTTCTGAGAGTTTTCATGAAGATCTAGAACCTTGAATTACATTTTATAATTTAAGTAGTAAGGTCACTAATCAAAGACCAGATTCAGTAATTAATCACATTTGGAGAGTATCATGGCAAGTCAACTTCTATATGAGCAATTAAAAAAATATGATAACCGATGCATTTAGGGAAATACCATGTTAACCATTATAGCAAATACTGTTACATACATGATGAGTAAAGTCACCTCAAGATTGAATTTTTACCAAGGCATACAGCCATTTAAATATCACCTCTGAGTGTGATAACACGTGCCTTTAGTTTCTGTACTTAGGAGGCAGAGGAAGGCAGATCTCTGAGTTTGAGACCAGTCTGGTCTGCATAATGAGACCCTGTCTCAAAGGGGGAAAAAGTCACTTCAGGCAAAATAGAAAACATTCCGTCATCTTAGAAGACAGTTTGACTTTGAAAAATTTTTTAAAAATGTTATGTGTATGAGCGTATTGCCTGCATGATGACATATAATGCCTGCAGGTCAGAAGAGGGTGTTGGATCCCCTGGAACTAGAGTTATGGATGGTTGATAGCCACCATGTGGGTGCTGGGAATCGAACTGGATCCTTTGCAAGAGCAGTCAGTGCTCTTAACCACCGAGCCAACTCTCTAGCCCCCAGTTTGACTTTTAAATTGTTTGAGAATCTCACTGACCATTACTACCAAGAAGACCATTTCATTTGGTCTTATTTGGCTATTCTAGAAGGATCCAAGGGCTGATAAAGATAAAGATCAATGTACAGGCACTCCAGTATGCATGTGCTGTTCCTCTAATATGGTGCCTCTTCTGTTTGCTGCTGTTTACTTAGGAAGCCATCCCAACACACAAGCCAAAAGTGGCCACCACTAAGGGATTCATGGTTGGAGTCCCCATTGCTGTCTTGGTACTGCTGATTCTAGCGAGCGCTGTGGCTGTGACAAGTAAGTAACTTTAGGATTGTCCCTGAGGAACTAGAGCAGGGGTTCTCAGCCAATCTGATTGCTTTTAAGTAACTCCATGTCATGGAGTTTGATTTCACAGGACTTCTGTGTCCCCAAATTCTGACCCTCCCTACTTCCCAGAGTTGTGTTATGACCTCCTAAGCTCTGGGAGTGGTTTCCGGCACATGGTAGATGCACAGCAAACTTGAACCACTGTTATTTTATCTCAAAAAAACCAAATCTCTGCCCTTTACATTTCATGGACCTTGAAGGTAGAAGTTTTTGCTAAATATTATTGTTTGTTCATTTCTCTTTTTCAGTTGTTAGTTTCTTTTAAGATTTTAAAGCTTTGGGTTTTTTTTATTTATTTTGAAGCCGGGTCTAATGTAGCTCAGCTGGTATTGAACTTCTGATGTTCCTGAGGCTGCCCTTCAATTCCTGATCCTCCTGCCTACACCTTCCAAATGCTGCTGGCCTTATTGGTATAGAATACAATACAATACTTAACAATATCATTGTTTATTAACCTTGTTCTTTATCTTTTAATTTTTGGACACCTAAAAAGAAAAAAATATTTTTCTATACAAGAAATTAAATACTTTGAAACGAGAGTTTGTTGGATAGTATTGAGATTTGGGAGGCAAAAAGCCATTATAATACATATGATGTATTCTCTACTGCTCTGGGGATCTGATTTCTGTCCTTACAGTGATTCTGTTGAAAGTTCTGGAACAAAGCTGGGTGTGGGAACACATCTTTAATACCAGCACACCAGAGGCAAAGGCATGTGACTCTCTATGAGATTGAGACCAGTCTGGTCTATGTAGTGAAATTCAGGCCATCTGGGCTGCAGGGAGGCCCTGTCTAAAGAAACCAAAACCAAAACAAGATTTAAAAAAATGCTAAAGTTGTGGAACACCTATTTATTAGAAGCAGCAAATGAGATGTTGCAAAAGAAACTGCATGTCTAATACTGGGACAGAGTTCTTTAGCAGCAGACACTCAGGCCTGGGTGTCCCTTTCCTACAGGGTATGTGTGAATGCATGTACCATCCATTCTCTATGAAAGACCTTTAGCCATCTACTTTTCAACACACCATATTTGAGTTCATCGTTGAACTATTTCATATCACTGGGCAGAAAATGGGGGAAATAAATGATGCTTGCCAAATTATAGGATGTTTCCTTTACTTAGAGTGTAGTTATTCAAAATACTGTTTAAGCTGGGTCTGCTGGTATGTGCCTGTAATCCCAACAGTCAGGCTGCTGAGACAGAAAGATACAGCGTGTGACAGCCTATGCTACATAGTAAGATCATGTCTAGAAGGGGGAATTACTTAGAAACTAGGTAAAATGCCACAAGTGTGTTCCCTTCTTAGCACAAAGTTTTTGTTCTGTTCTCAAGGAAGGTAGTTACTGGGGGTATAAAGGTCTTTGGCTGGAAGGGTAGGTTGAGAACAGGTGTTACACAGCTATGGGATTGTGCCGAGGAAGGAGTAGAACCCACTATAAAGCATTACTTCAGAGAGTTGAAAAATGCCATTGGCCAGGCGTGATGGTGCACACCTTTAATCCCAGTACTTGGGAGGCAAGGGCAGGTGGATCTTTGTGAGTTTGAGGCCAGCCTTGTCTATATAGCGAGTTCCAGGCCAGCTGGGGCTACAGGGATACCCTGTCTCAAAAAGACAAAAAAAACAAAACCAAAAGTCATTGATGTAAGTGACCCTTAGTGGAACTTCAGGTTTTTGTTATTTCCTTTTGAGATCAGGTCTCACTGAAGCCCCACGAACTCCATGTGTAGATCATCACAGGCTGGCCCCAGTCTCATAGTGATCTGCCTGCTCTGCCTCTGGAGTGTTGGGATTAAAGGCATGTGCATGTGTGGTACTTTGTGTACCAGACAGCCTAGGAGAGTCCTGGGTTAGATTTGTTCTCCAGGAGCCCATTAGAAAATTCTAGACTTTTCTACTTCTTCCAGTGAAAGAAATTGAACAATGTTCTATCCATTTGAGCTGTGTGGGTGAATACAGCAAATTATGAATGAAAAGAAATTCTACTTGAGGGGTTCAGGAAGTAATCACTCAAAATTGCCAGGGGAAAGATCAATTAAGAACAATTACCCTTCATAGGCAGAAGATATCATTTATGTTTCCTATAATATAATTTTCATTTCAATTTCTCCCATCTTCCCCCATCCCAATTCAGAGTACATCTATGTGAAAAAGAAAACAGGCTCCCTGAGGTAAGCTGGACAGCTTGTGCCAATTCCTTTTGAACTCAACAGTCTTGTAAAATTTTCTGTTTCTGTTCTTTTTTTCTACTAAAACATCCTGTAACTATTTATTTATTTACTTGTTTGAGACATCTCACTATGTGATGCAGGCTAGCCTGGACCTTGTGTAGCCTAGACTGGGTTGGAACTCAGGACCCTCTTCCCTTATCCTCCTGAATGCTCAGCTTTACAGATTGTGTGTGTGTGAGTGTGTGTGTGTGTGAGTGTGTGAGTGTGTTTGTGTGTGTGTGTCTGTCTGTCTGTCTGTCTGTCTGTCAGTCACAGTGCTTGGTTCCCAATCTATACTTTGGATACTAAAATGTAATTTAGCAAGCAAGCCCCTCTCTTGTTAACAACACTTTTCAGTGACACTTTATCATTCTGTATTTCCCTATGCTGTGGCTGAGCTGGTATAGGAGGAGCACATCAGTCCTAATTTCATAGAAAAATGGTGAATTATAAACTCCAAGTTTTTCTTTCTGGAGCTGTTAGTGAATAAGGTGCTTCAATTCTTTCATTTTATTCAGTGTTTTCTTTTTTTCTTTTTTGGGGGGCGGGTCTTTTTGAGATAGGGTCTCTCTGTAGCCCCAGCTGACCTGGAACTCACTATGTGGACCAAGATGACCTTGAACTCACAGAGATCCGCCTGCCTCTGCCTTCCAAGTAAAGTGATGAAAGGCGTGCTCCACCATGCCCCAGCTCAGTCCTTTCTTTCATTGAGTAACTTCTGTACTAACAACTGATGATAAAAGCAGACAGCATCCAAGATAACGGATGGGTCCTTTTAGGTGCTCTGGGCAAGGGCTATGAGGATGATAGGATTGGTGACCTGCTGCTTGAGTAAGGCACAAGGGAGCAGATTTGAAGGAGATAATTCCTGAAGAGGCAGCAGGTGCAGAGGCACTGAGTTCTCACAAGTGTCTCACAGTTCTGCTCTCAGTCCCCTCCAGCCATTTATACTATCTGACACTGTAGGCTCATCAGTTGGCAGTACTCATGAAATTTTTCAGGTGCTCCTGTGTAAGTCTCCTGTGCTTCCTCTGTGTCATATGGTCATCTTCCCTAATGTGAAACTATGTAGTTTGCTTCATTTGGTTAAAGATTGGCTCTAGGCAAGGCCAGCCTTTTAAAATCAAACCATACCCCTTAGGCTGCTGTCTGCACGATGCATAACTTTTGTTGGTAGTTTATACACAGACTTCCCTGTGTCTGAGTCAATCCCATGAGCCAATCCACAATGTATCTTGAACAGTGTCAAGCACAGCATGGGTGCCCATCAGTTGTGTGCTTTACAGTAATAAATCTATAAAAAAAAATAGAGACTGTTTGTATCCTAGAGATTAGAAAACAGTTTTGGAACTATAAAGGAGCTTCTGCTGTTACACTACACAGCTTAAAGGCCTCCATCTCAGGAACCCATGCTTAGACATCTTGTCACTAACTGCATCTTACAGTGGGAAGAACATGCTCCTTATAGGTGGGAAGCCATGGAACACAGCCTCCCATTAGTCCTTTGATTTATGTTCTTACACCGATCATGTATATTTTTTAAAAGGTATAATTTTTTTTATTATGTGTGGGGGAGAAGACACATGGGGGTGAGTGTGGTATGTATCTACATGTGTGGGGGTGGATGCATGAGCTTGTGCATATTGCCAGAGGGCGCTGAGTGTCTCTTCTATCACTCTCTGCCTTTTTCCTTTGAGGCACAGTCTCCCTCAGGACCTGCACTACTCATTTTGGCTAGGCTCGTAACCAGGGAGCCCCAGTGATCCTCCTGTCTCCATGCCCCTCATGCTGGGGTGACAGGCATGCGGATTATCCTCAGCACATTACATAGGTGTTGGGATCTGAACTCTGGTCCTTGTGCTTGTGTAGCAAATGCTTTTAACATCTGAGTCATCTCTCCAGTCCCAAAGGCTTGCTTTTTAATCACTAACTGAGAAGAAAAAAAGATGTCTGGCTTAGTGGAATACTCATGTAGTCCCAGCACCCAGGAGGCAGAAGCAGGTGGATCTCTGTGAGTTGGAGGCCAGCCTGGTCTACACAGTGAGTTCTGTGTCAGCTAGTGAGATCCTGTCTCAAAAAAAAAAAAACTGTAGAAAACATAAGAAGAAAAATTTGGGTGAGGTGGCACATACCTATTATGTCAGTACTCAATAATAATCTGAGGAGCAGGACTGAGTTTCAGGCCAGCATAGACACCCTGAATAATAATAATAATAATAATAATAATAATAATAATAATAATAAAAATATCAAAAAGACAAGCCCACTTACAACTAACAAAGTCTTGACAGTTCACATGGCTCTTTCTGGTAGCATCATGCTAGCATCTTTACCTGTTCCGCTATCTGCCAAGGCCCCACAATGCTTCCTAAAGGGTCATGGTGAAAAGTTGAAAATATACCAGTCATTCAGTTCTTAGCTCAGTTTCAAAACACACATCACAATTAGGTCAACTCATTTTGATGCTAGATATCTCTCTCTTTAGATTTTCCATTTCTATGTCCTTTTATGTGAGCATCCTCAAAGATACCAGTCTGGGTTTTTATTTTTCAATGTTTCTTAGGTTGTTTCATGCTTATTAAACAAACTTTTCTACAACTTAATACCCAAGTGCCTGTGTGGTGCTACTGACTGTTTTAATTTCTGTGGGTGGGGCTCCTGGGGCCTGGAACCCAGTCTTGCTGGATCTTAAGTGAAAGCTCTGCTCAGACTTCAGAAG